AACAGATTAAAACGTGGATCAGACCGTGGTAGATATAACAGATTAAAACGTGGATCAGACCGTGGTAGATATAACAGTTTAAAACATGGATCAGACCTGGTAGATATAACAGATTAAAACGTGGATCAGACCGTGGTAGATATAACAGTTTAAAACATGGATCAGACCTGGTAGATATAACAGTTTAAAACATGGATCAGACCGTGGTAGATATAATAGCTTAAAACGTGGATCAGACCGTGGTAGATATAACAGATTAAAACATGAACCAGACCGTGATAGATATAACAGATTAAAACATGGATCAGACCGTGGTAGATATAACAGTTTAAAACATGGACCAGACCGTGGTAGATATAACAGATTAAAACATGGATCAGACCGTGGTAGATATAACAGATTAAAACGTGGATCAGACCGTGGTAGATATAACAGATTAAAACGTGGATCAGACCGTGGTAGATGTAACAGTTTCTTCGAAAACTTCGTTACCTTTAAAACGGTTATTGTTAGTATTGGTCTAATATAAACTAAGAACTTACATTCATTTATTTTACTCATAAGTGTTCACAGATGGAGGCTACATTCCTGCCAGAAGTACCTCTTTAAGAGATGGATCCGTGGTTTGCATCCTGTTCCACCCCACCCCGAAAAAAAAATGGGTAGCGCTCTGCACTTTGGGGGCGTGAGTGCTTATAAGAGTAATGGTCAAATCTCAATATTAGATCAGAGTAGCCCACGAGTTGGCGGTGGGTGGTGTCGTTGACTTGCACAGAGGGTGGCTGTATGTGCTCAAGTCCCTGCCTTCATGCTCTTATGTTCCAAAGTACCCATTTTCCCCCTCTGTCATAAAAATGGTTAACAACTATGAAAAGATACAAACAACAAATCATTTGAGAAATTTCGTTAGTTTGTTTTGTTGTTGAGCGCAAACCTACACAGTGGGTTGTTGTGATCTGTCTACCACAAGTATGAAAACCCGATTTTTATCGTTATAAACCATCAGATTTTCCGCAAAATAAAAATCACAGAATAACATTAAAACTTAATGAAACATTTCAAGAGCTGAACAGTGAAGACCGAATTAGAATGATATTAAACCTAGAAGAAAACGTTAAATGAATTAAAGTTGAGATTCCATGTTTATTTTAAGTGATAAATCGAAAAACACGTATGGTGTTGACTCGCAGATAAAATAGTGGATAACAGTATATTTGATTGTGTTTATTAAACGGTTTATGATACTAAAATGGTTTTGATAGGTATTAGCTCATGTCACGTGCGTTATTGATAACAAAAAAAAAAGGTTTCCCCGAGATTAAATAGTATATTTTTTTATACAAAACCATATAACATCTTCATCAAGGGCATTGAGATATATATAAAACTGCCGACCACAGCGATAACTTGTAGGTACATATGGTTATGTCATGTTTTAGGTAAATGCTAGTAGAAGATAAATACGGGTTATGTATGTTTAAGGTTGCATCTCAAAGTTCCATAATTATTATCTCGTTTTTGGCAAAAACTAAACACTTCATAATTAGGAGTGCCAAAAGGTTTGAAGTGTAGTAGATGATACCTTTACAAAGTTTTTATGTCAGATATTTAAGTACATATGTATATTTTACATTTATGATTTACGACAAACTTAATCAGTTCTTAGCTAGAACTTTTTCAAGTCTCTACATCATCTACGCTGTTTTATCAGGCGAAAGATCTCTGTTAGAAGGTGGCTATAATCGTTTCTAAGCAAAAGTCTGCTTGGACATATGCATATTTACATGTTTAACGATAAACCTAAGCATAGTTTTGTATAGGTTTTGGAGTCATATATATATATACATACATATATTCCAAAAACTACAGGAAGGAATGAAGACTTGGCAGAGAAATGGAATATGTTTCTTTTGTTTTGTGTTTTTTGAATTTCGCGCAAAGCACACGAGGGTTATCTGCGCTAGCCGTGCCTAATTTAGCAGTGTAAGACTAGAGGGAAGGCAGCTAGTCATCACCACCCACCGCCAACTCTTTTACCAACGAATAGTGGGATTGACCGTCACATTATAACGCCCCCACGGCTAAAAGGGCGAGCATGTTTGATGGGACGGGGATTCGAACGCGCGACCCTCAGATTGGAAATGCAATATGAAAGTTAGGACTAACTTTTGTTGTGAATACTTTTTGAAATCTTGGACGTCCTTGCTGTAGTATGTTTTCTTTTTCAAATCCACCCCCTTATTCTTAAAAACCTCTTGAAATTATTTATTCACTAGTTTCCTTCAGTGAAATGTTTTAAGGTTGTATTAAATTGTGAAAGAACGAGTTTCATTTTTTTATGTAAATGTATGTTATTTTGTTTTCATATACATATAGATTCAATCTGAAGGATCTTTTATGCCAAAGACTCAACGGTAGTTGTAAAACTAAGTAAGGTTTGGAAAGGGAATGGCTCCTGATGAGCAACACAGAAATACTGGTCATAAACGATGTTCAAGATCTTCCGTACTAGATCTTAAACAATCAACTCCAGTCATCCCTCTTCCAGAAGTAGAAATGTATTCTAAACATTTGGAAACTAGAGAAAAACTAGAAGACACTCCAAGCCACCCTGGAAATATTGCTAAACAAAAAGAGTTTGTATCGTCAGTTTCAAGATGTAATCCTGTCGAACCAAACGACTTGTTGGATAATACGATTCAAAAGAACGTAACAGAAAGACTCCGTAACATACAGGTTACACCAGAGTGTGTAGATCACGGAATGAATATTAGCAGTACTTGCTATTATCAGTCAGATACACAGAAGAATACACCCCCCAAAACTCGAAGGCTCTCAACTGGAAAACAAAAAACTCAACCATTTCTCTCCTTTATAAAAGTACTTTCCTTGGCTTCTGTCATTCCTTCTATTTCCGTAGCCGACAATTTACGAGAAACTTTTGTAACGCGCGGAAATCATAAAACCGAGTATGAGCAAATCAAAGAAGACACAGAGAGTTTTTCTAAAGATGCCATTAAATACGTTTTAGTAACCAAACGATGGAAAAACGTTACGCTTGCACATGATTACAAACCCTTAAACAATCCCCTTGCGAAATTTTTCAGGCAGCTAGTTGTAAATATGGTGACCGAATATCAAATTCCTATTAAGAACACTGTAAAAACTCTGGATTTATCTGAAAGCAATACATACGAGTCTTTTTTGGTCATTACTGACAGCGTATTTGAAGGCCACAAAGACGTGATAACTTGGGGCCGATTGATATCCCTGCTTTCGTTGGGTGTCGAAATCGCACTACATTTCTGTGAAAAAGGAATGGAAGAGTTTGCTGAAGATATTGTGGATTTTGTGGGCCGCCACCTGGGAGAAAGAGTTACACCATGGGTTCAGAAACAAGGGGGTTGGGTAAGTGTAATTTAGCAATCGTTAAAAACCCTTCAAAGACTCAACTTTTTAATGAAAATAGCCTCTTTTTTACAGAAACTAGGTACTGTATTTATTTATGGTCAGGAACACGTAAATATATTTACATAATACTACTCTATAAATGTGCAGTGCATGATGTTTAAAAGTTATTCTTAAAATATTTAAACTGCCGTGTATATGGTTTCCTGATGTAAATATTACTCTCTATAATTAAATTCAACTACAAACAATTTCAAACTAGATTGGTTTGGTTCAGCAAACTCAACACTACTTGCACGTTTTTTTATGACGTGTAAATTTTCACAACTGTAGCCTTTGGAGGTGCCTCTGTTGGTTCGACGGATTGCAGTGGGTTACATAGTAACAAGGTATAGATATTCAGGAGATGGATCTGTCTTAACATTACTGTCCAAAAACAGCTATAGAACTTATAATAATTGTATTGTTCGTAAAATATTTTCAAATTGAGATTCAGATGTTCATTCAGTATTTCGATAGCATATTTTTATTTTCAAATGAGCTAAAATTTGATTAAGGATATCTTCAGCATATATATGAGTTACGCGTGATATCGTACTTATTAAGTTACTTAACGTTGAATATAAGTAAATTAAACTGAAAAACAAAACAACTTCTTAACACTTAAATTCCTTTAGATCAAAGAAACGTTGTTTTTTTTCTAAATTAAAAATGTAGCTATATTTGAATTAGAGGTGGACAATTAGTTGTACATGATAGTCGATTAATTAACAGCCCCATTAATCAATTAAGTTGCCTCTCTCTCTATGCCTGATCAGCTTCGTACGGCCATATTTTTATGAATGATGTTTTCTCATACGTTTCACATTTTGGGGGCTGTTTTATTACCCAAGAGCTTAAATTTTCGGGACTGATTTATTATTTCATAGTTTAAGCTTTTTAGAGACTGTTTCTCAGAGCTTAAGCTTTTTGGGGCTGTTTTATTGTGTTAGAGTTTAAGTTTAAAAAGCTCATTTGTATACTCGGATCTTGAACAGAATGGTGAACAGAACCTTTGATAACAGGAAATCGTTAAAACTTTGAAGATTATGAACTTGTTTTTTGTTTATTTAAAAACTTAGATGTGAAATAGTGAATATAATACAACCAAGTTTAACTTGTGTTTTTCACACCCCAAAACAGAGGTTACACACAGCTAATTACTACAAAGCATATTAATTAATGCCTTTGGAAAGTCTTTAGAAGTAAAAAAGGAATAAATTTGTAAAGAACATTGCAATGCGCTTGTAGTAGTAACCCAACTGAGTTGGTTATAACCGCTGTAGCTCGAAATTGCAGTAAATGTTTCACATTTCAATCTGTGAAAATTACCCGAATGATAAGTTTGGCTGTGAAACTAGCTACTCTCTAACACCTTTTTCACTCTGAAAGAGTAAAAAATAGTAGTATATAAACCAAATTTTAGTCTTTTTTTTAACAGTTACAAAGAAAATTTCTTTTTTCGTTAGAACCCAACAAGGTTGTAACACACACATGTTTTATTAAGTTCAGCAATGGCATTTCTGTAAGTGTTCAGTAAAGTTTAAATTGTTATTTTCCACATCACGCCCCACCTCCAAATACGTCAACAGGGGATCCGATACCTCTTTTTTCTAAAAGTTAAGCACTATATTAATTATTTCTTCTTCAACATCATTTATAAATGGTCTTTTTAATAATTATCGTGACGTCTGTGAATTGCTGTTTCCATAAAACATTTATTAATTTTTTTCTTCTAAAGACGTTTCAAACTCACTAATTCATATGCTTTTTAGTTATTAGCTATATGCAACTCGAAATTTATTAACAAAGTGAATGTATTTCGTTTTTATGTATTATACGACTGAACAATTTCCAGCCGAAAAGGATTACGTAGCTGTA